AGGAAAATTGTGGTAAATATTGGAGATAATTTGAACTGCTACATCAGTTTTACCTGCAATCATAATTTTGTTAATTAACAAACAAAACATAACATAATTTTAAAAAGTTATTCACATTCTCAATAAGGCTAAATAGGACTGCACTAACCAGTTCCAGGTGGTCCAACAACAAGAGTTAAGCCTGGCTGCATACCAGCACGAATAGCTTCTATTTGGGTGGGAGTGAAACGGATTGAATTCCTGCACAGAAACAGTTAATGTAATGAATATTTTAACAAAAAAATCAATTTCTCATAACCTTATGTCATGTAAAATCATGGGGGTCAATTATGAATTACGTATTGTAATAAACTTAGTTGAGATATAAAAAGTGGTTCATTTCAGTATTACAAATAATAATTAACAAACCTTTTAGGCTCATTATAAAGATAAGGGCCGCGGCTAGGAATTATATGAGGTTCAACAACTATGGCTTGTTTTTGGTCTAACACTGGCTCCCTATCTTCACTTCTGGCACAGTGTTTTTCAATCACCTCTTCAAAGTTTAGTCTGAAACAGAATAAAAAGAATTAAAAAAAAATTAAATTAAAAAACCTCCTCTGCAATAAATTTTGCAAACAATACCCACAAACCAATACTCACATGAATGGTGGAGTCAGCTTGGAAGGGTCATCAGTTTTCACTTTGATTTCATGGGAAGGAAAACTATCTCTTAAATGATCTAAATCTAGGAAAGTGTCATTCCAATCCATTTTAGCAATCTCATTGGGCATTCTGTGAAGTCAAAAGAAAGAGTTTGTAGCAATATTTATTTGTTAAAGGTAGAAATTAGAAGAAGCTGATATTGAATTAGTGCTTTTACCTTGAATAATGAGCAGCACTTGGATCACCGTACCCAAGGATGATATCATGCAACCAATCAGGAACTACACATTCTGTGTTCATTAGATTTCTTATAGTTTCTAGAACTGCTTTGAAATTATTTTCTTTGGGCTTTCTTCTCATAAGAATGTTAAAAGTTTCGTACACATCCTAGACAAAATATAAAGATAATACAATTGATTTACAAAATTCTTACTAGGTCTGACAAAAGTTATGCAGGAATTATAATTACCTCAGCACCGTTTTGAGCAACATTATCCATATCATTACGATACTGATTGCAATCTAACCAAACACGGAATGTTCTTGAATCACCAGGCAGGTCTGGTCTAGGTTCAGGTCCATCCTCCACAACCCGACCATTGGAGTCCAACATTCCCTCCATTTCACATCCCCTTACATAAACTAATCCAACTTGCGGTAAAAAGGGCTCTCTAAAATTGTAACGAGTGCCTGCAACAAGTCAAGTCAAAACATGAAAACATCAAAAGTTTTCCAATGATACAAAATTCACGCAAAGTTAAAAAAAATAAAAAAATACTGACCAATTGGAACAGATGGGCGTACAGTAATCAGGAAACAAACATCATGTTTCCTAAGATTCTCCCACTCGTTTTTTATTTCTCGTCTTACATTGAGGTTAACAGTGATGTCTGCTCTAACTCGGGATGGATGATTCTCCCCTGTAAGCGTAATTTGTAATTTTAATGTCAGCAATTTCTATAAAAAAATCTTAACTGAAAATTGTAAACCTAAGGAAACAGTATAAAAAAAAATATCTGCTTATTCTTACCAATATTTGGTTTGGCCACTTCTACAACAGCAAAATTAACAATAGGCTGAGCCATCCGTGCCCATCCGCCAAAGTAAACACTATCATCTTCAGCTTTCCAAGGGTTCAACCTGCTAACAGCATCTTCAATATCCTGACGAATTTCGTATGTTGACTCTAATCTAAATAAGTTAAAATTTCTCAAGAGATAATCATGCAGGGTGAGGAACTGCAGATTCAACTTGGGTAGTGCAAGACAGCCCTCCCCACTAAAATATTCTGTTGGGACAATATTTTCATTCCATATTATATCTTCTGTGGGATATAATGGCATTTCATTGAGTAGTTCCAACTGAGATGCTCTTCTCTCATGACGAGAGACCTATGAAAAAGAAATAGAGTGAAAAATAATAATCAACAATACACACTGTACTGTAGGGAAATGTAAGTATGTAAATAGAAAGGGATATAAAACACACACCAATAATTCTAAAATAAACTCATGATCAATCCGAACCCAGTCTTCAATATGCTGCCTTTCTTCTGGTGGTACAAGGTTTAGGTAGGTTGCTATTGCTCTCAATTTGTCAAGGCTGCAGAAAGAAAACCAGGCAGCTTTCAGTAAATGGAGACATATATTGACAGACGTGTAAGTATTTAAAATGCTCGTACAAAAATGTCTGGCAGGCTTCCAAAAAGAACAGGTATGGTAACCACTCACCTAAGGGATCCAAAATGCTCTAGAAGGCTATCTCGAGTATCCACACTTGCAACATTTGCAAGAGCAAACATACGTAGATCTGGGAATTTAGAAAAGGCAGCTTTCTGAAATACAAAAAAGACAGGATCATCACCATTTCCAAATTAAATTAAGAGTTACATAAGTCGATGATTAAATTTAAGATAATCTTACTTGTAGTGATGTAATTTTGGAGTAGTGAAGTTGAGTCATGTCATGATCCGTCAATGGATCCCCAGTTTCATCATTAATTTCAAATCGGGCATAAAATTTCAACATCTCAAGCAGCTGTAAAAATTCAAAACAAATGAAGATGGATTAGTGATGGGAGAAAAAACTGACCTGCGGGCCGGCCGGTAAAGAGACAGTCTCGCTGTAAAAACACACATAAAATACTGGCACAAAGAAATTGGACAGGATCAAGACAATCAGCAAATTATGCTATATCATTCAAATTTTGTTGAAGTCGTCAGTTCAGACCGATGAAAACGGGCGTATTTTTATGTTTAACAGAGCTGTGGGTGAAATTTTAGAGACCTGTGTTCATTTGTCAAGTAGGCACGAAGGATGCTAGGACAGCTAGGGCTCACATCACACGGTCCGGCGCCGGCTGACAGTGAGATGTAGGAGGGGGGGGGGGTACGAGAAACAGCCTCAATGCTGCGAGCAGGAGACATTGCGAAGCAACTGAAAGGGGTAGCTAGAGTCCTATATTGGACTAGGTAGCCCATGAGCAGAGCGATGACAGACTTCTGCTCCCGCTCCTACGCATCTTGGACCGGGCGCGGCGCTGCTGAGGTCCGTTACAGATCCGCCCCCTTCTATGGCTGAACGGTGGCTTATCGTTAATAAAACGACTAATCGGCAATTTTATCAAAACGGGTAACTTTTACCTTCGGGTAGTGACAGTAACAAGGGACTGCCTGAAACGACTGAAAGCCATCTCACGTCACTCGCGGCCTCGTGAACCACATCCTGACCCTGGCCAAGGGCCTCAACATCAAGTACCCACGGCGCGCCCTTGACCCCGTGTCGTCAAGCGCCTAGGCCGCCAGGATTTATTATTAGGCTGGACCAGCAAAACCGGTATTCTGGGCGGCGGCGCGGGCGGTCGGGCGCGCCACCGACGGCGACTGGAGCAACAGAGGCTACAGTCGACCTGGACGGGTTGTGAAACTTGGAAGCTGTCAGGATAAAGGTCTGCGCACACGTCAAACGATTAAAGGAGCCTCCACACCATAACCCTGCCACGAGTAGAGAAAATTCTCTGTGTTACGCGGACCCCTTCCCGTCAAGTCCCCTCCAGTCCGAAATTAGCGGTGCCGCAAGCCATGAGTGCGAAGGGCCGGTGGGGCCGGTGAGGCCTGCTCCTTAGTGCGGAGGGTCCTGGAGGTCCTGCACGTGCCGGGGCCCACACGACGCCGGCGCCCGGCGGGGCAGGTCTGGGCAGCGACGCGATAGCACGGGCTGAACCGGCACTCGGCTGATTGAGCTGGCCTGGCCGGCACAGCCGGTAGTCGTTAGTCAGACACCCGGCTCTGCGGAGCTCAGCGGAGCTGCGAGTCGCTGCGAGCCTTGTGCGCCCCGCTCCCGCTCCCGCTCGCGCACCCCCAGCCCGACCCTCCCCCGCGCTTTATCGCGTCCTGGACACGCGACGCCGAGCCCAGCTGACCAGCTGTCGCGGTGTGACGCCTCGCCGCCACAGAGGCCGTCGTCCTGGAGCCTGGACCAGCCCCAGCCGCCGGCACCGGCCGCAGTGCGGCGCCCGCTCGCCACAGAGACCGTCGTCCTGGACCCGGCCAACACGCCGGCATCGCCACCCTCTCCGCCCGGAGCCGGGCTGGGCGCGGCACTGCGCCAGGGGGCGCCAGAGGTGTGCGCCGCGAGCTGCTCGCCGGACGATCCACAATAACAACAACATGGGGACGTCATCGGGAAAGAGAGCTGACGGGCGGGGCCGTTCCTGGAACGACTGCCTGCATGAGTGAATGCACCCCGATAAAGTCGTGGATGTGGCGAGGCGATGTGGTCTCATTGAGATGACACCGAGGCACCACCGAGGAACCATGGCGCACACGCATCGTACAGGTAAGGGGTCTCCATCGTGTTGGCGGCGCCGCGCCGAGGACCAACCGGAGAGCGCAAGGACGCCTCCACAAAATGCGTCGTGCACGGACGCTGCCTCTGCCTCGCTCCAGAAACATTTTACGGCACACATCACACCTCTGGCACCGACCCGTGCGAGTTACGAGTCCGCGAGTCTGCCGCTCGCTGATTGCACCCGGAAAAGCCCGTTCTTGCGTCGGAATTTGTTTGTCCCGATGCAACGTTCGTGCATTCAGAATTAAGAAGTAAATTTACTCGTTACAAGAAAGGGATTTCTCGGGTGTGCCCGCCGGCGTGCCAGTTCGTTGAGGACACCATGAGAGAAGGGTGCCCTGTTGGGGAGCGCCCATATCTCCATTTCCTGAGTGGTACTGGTAAGCCTTGGGGGCCTTGTGGGCAATAAGGCATGAAAAGTACGCGCTCGTGAGAAATACGGGGGTAGGGAGCGGGAATGGGAGGGGAAGGACCAGAAACCCGCCCACCTTACATCAGATCAGCAGGGCCCGTGTTGGCCAGGTTCGCCCCAACAAGCTGCGCCAGCTGCGCCCCGGGCCGGTGTGGCCACAGACAGCACCTTATCGCCCCGTGCTATCAGTCCCTTTAGATAATAATAAAAAAGCCATCCTCATCCAGAAAGCTAGAGATCGATGAGAGAAAAAGTAAGAGCGGGAGGGGGAAAAGGGGGGGGGGGTGATCGTACGTGGTCGTGCGGTCGTGAGGCGAGTGTACTGTACTGACCTGGAGTCCCTCATTAGTCACATTGTCTTCCGCACAGCGAAATGTGCGAGCTCCGGCAAAAGGCAACGTTAGTTGGAGAGCCACGAAGGGCAGGCGGCGGATTCGCAACCAAATCAAGGATGTCGCTATCATATTCTATCGTTTGATAAAATGGCATGATAAAGCAGGCAATCGCATCCATCTTACTGGTAGCCCAGGCTATTCCCTCCAAGAAAATCCCACCGAGGCTAGAAGTAAACACACCCATCACAGAGGAGGGGAGTCAGTCGTGCGAGTTTATCACTGATCGCTTCTATGACTTCCTTCCCGGGAAACAAAAAAGGTGCGCTGGTCGTGTAATCAATGTCGATGTGTAATGTTGGCAAAACCCTCAAGTACCAGAGACTTATGTACCTCGTCTGAAGTGTGACGCAAAGGCACGGAAACCAACGATCAATGGTGTCAGCAACACACTTGAGCGTTGATAGTATGAGCTCTGCGAAACTGCAGCACCTCAAATCTCTTTGGTCTCACTAGTTCTTATCGGGACAGTAGCATAATTAAAGGGGGGAAAATATTGACACCCTCAACAGCAAAGAGGAATGGTGAAAATGTCTGCCCAGCGCGTCGCATGACAACTGGACACCCCAACAACCTGTTTTGGGATGCGTGTTGGTGATGCAAGATTTTGCCCACACGGCAAACAAAAAACAAAATCCACGTTCAACCTGCGGCTCCTTTCCTTTCCAGCTTTGAGAGGAGCGAGATGGCACGCCGCGGCCGCGCTGGCGGCGCTCGCGCTGTTCTGCGGGGTCGCGGGTGCGGCGCCGCCCCCGCCCACTCCTGGCGCCTCCTCGCGGGCCAAGCAGTGCTGCCCCCCCGGCGTGGACCTGAGGAAGAACGAGAGCAAATGCGCAGACGGCAGCGCGGCGGCTCTGGACTGCAAAGTCAAGTTCCTGCTGGACGGCACGGACGGCGACGACAGCTACGAGATCACACCGGACGGCCTGCTGGTCCTCGGCAACTCGCTCATAGAGAGGTGAGTAGGGCGAGGAGGTACGCGCAACGGGGGGCTTCTCCATCACCATGGCCTCTGCCTAGACACCCCGCACCACCCTCTGCACAGGTACTGCGAGGCGCACAGGCCCGGCAGCCAGAGGAACGTGAGTGCGCTCGTCTGCTTCGACGGCTTCGACGATGACGTCGAGCACGAGACGCCGCGCCCGCAGTGGTGGTTCGACGTGGCCACGACGCTGTCCTGGATGTCCGTCGTGTGCCTCGCCCTCACCCTGGCCGCGCACCTGTGGCTGTCGGAGCTGCGAGACCTCCAGGGCCGCTGCCACATGGGCGCCGTGGCCAGCCTGGGCCTGGGGCTGCTCGTGCTCACCATCCTGCAGGCGAGCCCCCAACTGGACGGCGTGCCTTGCACCGTGATCGGTACGTGGTGGCGGGCGACGGCCTACCGTACGCTTATTTGCATCGCATGCAGCGAAGCCAATAAAATGGCAAGCGGCGCTTCGCAGTAAAATGTCAATTGTTAATCCACATCTCTCCACCAGCGTTCCTGGCATACTACTGGCTCCTGAGCGCCTTCTTTTGGCTCAACGTCACGGCCTTCAACGTGTGGCGATCAGTTGTGTAAGTATAAGCTCGGCACTTTTTATTTATTTTTAAAATTTCCCCCGAGTCCCACACGCGCTGCTCGTGCTCAGGCTGGAGCACGTCCGCTTCCGCGAGAGCACCCTGTTCGCGTGGTACTGCGCGGTGAGCCAGGGCGCGCCGCTCGCCCTCATGCTGCTCCTGCTGGCCGCCCACCTGCTGCCCGAGGCTGACGACGGCATCGTGCGGCCCCGCTTCGGCACCAACAACTGCTGGTTCCACGGTGAGCGACGCGCGCGGAGAAACGAACGCCACCGGCGCGAACCCGCCCACCCTAAAGCTCATCATCGTTGTTCGTCGCAGATGACCACGCCACCTGGGCGTGGTTCTACTGGCCCCTGGCCGTGCTGCTGGGGATGAACGTCATCTACTTCGTGTGGACGACGGCGCGCCTTTGGCGCCAGTACGGCAACAGCAGCGACAGCCCCGGGCGGCGCAAGCTCCTACAACGCCGCTTCCTCCTCTCCCTCAAGCTGTTCCTCATCATGGGCATCAGCTGGGTCTTCGAGCTCATCTCCTCGGCGGCGGACGTCCCCGGCAACGCGGCCTGGTGAGTAGCGAGGCGGGTCACCCGGAGGCCGGGTGAGTAGGGAGGCGAGTCACCCGGGGGACCGCGGCCTGGTGAGTGCTCTAGTGAGTAAAAAAGGGGGGGGGCACCCAGGACCGCGGCGCGCGTGCAAGTCTCTGAGCCTCTTCCACTGCCATGCTCTTCATGCTCTGCCCAGGTACCTGACGGACGCGATCAACGCGATGCAGGGCGTCATCGTACTGGTGGTGCTGGTGCTGACACGGCGCAGGGCGTGGCGCGCGCTCCACCGCCGAAGACCTTGTGGCCTGCGCCCCCCGGAGCACTGGGCCTTCCCGCCTGGCGACCACAGGCCGGACGACGACGACGACTCCACGGACTCGGAGGAGGACGCCGAGGACCAGGAGATGAACGACATGTCCACCAGGCCTTGCCCCACCTCGTCCAACGGACTCCCTGCCATCAAGGCCAATGGAGTGCACTGATACCGAAAGCCCCCCAGAGAAGGACTCAACCGGTCAACACCATCAGAGTAGTGAACACCGGGGAATCAGAGTGGCCAATGACTGGCTTTTCCGCCGCTAATGCTGTAGCCGGGCACCCGGCGCAAAGACAATGCCCCGAGGAGACAATAGCTCATCTGAGGGCCGCCGGGCCGCCGCGCACTGCCAGCATGAGGGCGCGTCGGTGTGACGCGAGTGTGCACAGCGAGGAATACAGGGTGACAGGGTCTGGTTAGACTGTACCGCATGCAGGTGTGCAAACG